ACTTGGCCACGTTTACCCGTCAGCCGGGGTCGAGCCTGTACACACTGACCACTGAGTCTCCTCCTGTTCCTGAGTCTGGTCCGGTAGCTGCGTCGGGTCAGGTGTTTGCTGCAGCGTCCAGGTCTGGTCCTGAGTCTGCGCCCTGCTCGTGTCGTCTCCTGTCCCACCAGACTCTCCTTTGGCACCACCGCCTTGGTCACCCCTCCCTGCCTCGTCTCCGAGGCATGGCCTCCCGTGTCCTTGTCTCTGGTCTCCCCCGGTCCCTCCCTCCCCTACCTCCGGGACCGGCCCCTACCCGCGTCCCCTGCGTCGAGGGGTGGCAGCGCGTCGCCCCTCACTCCTCCGAGTTTCCTCCGACAGAGGCTCCCTTGCAGACTCTTCACATGGACGTGTGGGGCCCCGCCCGCGTCCGTCGCCAGGGTAACGAGCGTTACTTCCTGTTGGTGGTTGACGACTACTCGCGTTACACCACAGTGTTCCCCTTGCGCAGCAAGGGTGACGTCGCTGAGGTGCTGATCGACTGGATCCGCGCAGCTCGTCTCCAGCTCAGAGAGAGTTTCGGCTCGGACTTTCCTGTTCTGCGTCTGCACTCTGACAGAGGCGGAAAGTTTTCCTCTGCCCGTCTGGGAGCCTTCTGTCGTGCACAGGGCATCCGCCAGACCTTCACGCTTCCGGCCTCTCCACAGCTAAATGGGATTGCTGAGCGCCGCATTGGCATGGTCATGGACGTCGCTCGTACGTCCATGATCCATGCGGCTGCTCCCCATTTTCTGTGGCCGTTTGCGGTTCAGTACGCGGCGCATCAGCTCAACCTTCAGCCCCGGGTCTCCTTGCCAGAGACCTCCCCCACCTTGCGGTGGACGGGGAAGGTTGGCGATGCGTCTGCGTTTCGGGTCTGGGGATCTCGGGCGTTTGTCCGCAACTTGTCTTCGGACAAGCTGTCCCCTCGTGCTGTTCCCTGCGTCTTCCTTGGCTTCCCCCCTTACGCGCCTGGTTGGCGGTTCTACCACCCCACCTCGCGCCGTGTTCTGTCCTCCCAGGACGTCACCTTTGACGAGTCGGTGCCTTACTACCGTCTCTTCCCCTACCGCACTGCGCCCCTCCCCCCACCGCCGCTCTTCCTTGCGCCAGGTCCTCCCCCGGTAGACCCCCTCCCCCCTCAGGGTCCTGCCCCGTCAGGTGTGTCCCAGGTAGACGCAGTTGAGCCTGTCGAGGTAGCTGTTGACTCTGGTGCTGCTAGGGGCGCTGTGCATGCGGGTGCCGGGTCTGGGGGTGCGGAGCCTGGGGGTGCTGAGTCTCGGGGTGCTGAGCCTGGGGGTGCTGAGTCTCGGGGTGCTGAGCCTGGGGGTGCTGAGCCTGGGGGTGCTGAGCCTGGGGGTGCGGAGCCTGGGGGTGCTGAGCCTGGGGGTGCGGAGCCTGGGGGTGCTGGGTCTACTCGTGTGGCCTCTGGCGGTGTTTCGTCGAGGCGGGAGCCTCTCTCTCCGCAGGAGCTGCGCGAGTGGTTTGCCCAGCGCTGGAGCCGTGCTGCTGGAGCTGGAGGTACTACTGTTGCTGCTGGTCCTGGAGGTGCTCGTCCTGGCGGCTCTGGAGCTGCTGGGACTGGGAGTCCTGCTGGGGGTGCTCCTGGAGCTGGAGCTGCTGGAGCTGGAGCTGCTGGAGCTGGAGCTGCTGGAGCTGGAGCTGCTGGGGGTGTTGGCGCTGGTGGTTCTGCTGGCGCTGGTGCTTCCGAGGGTGCTGGAGTTGGCACTGTTGGAGCTGGAGGTGCTGCTGGCGCTGGTGCTGCCGCTGGGGGTACTGGTGCTGTCCCTGCTGGTTCTGGAGGCGCTGCGCGGCCGAGGCCGTACTTCGTTCCGCTCCTTGAGCAGGTTCTAGGTCTCCCGCCCTCTACTGGTCCTGCTCCTCCCTTAGTGTGTCCACAGCCTGTCCAGTCGCGGTCACAGTTACAGCCTGCCTCCCCCCTGCCTGCTCCTTCTCCCTACACTGGTCCTACTGGAGGTCTTGCTGAGCATCGTGAGCCTGCGTCTCGTCCTGCGTCGCCTGTTCGTGCTGCTCGCACTAGTGGTCGTGCTCCGCGTCCGCATCCTCCTGCGGTCCCAGGCACACACCAAATGGCACTGCGTCCTTCCACTGCTCCTCTGCGTGTCCCGTTGTTGTCTCCTCCAGAGTCTTCTCTTCCTACTCTTGCTGACCCTGAGTCTGACTCTCTTCGTGCTGCCAGTCCTACTGTCACGCGTCTCCTGGCTACTGCTGTCACTGACCCTTCTTTTGATTCCACTGCTGCGTCTGCCTTAGTTGCTGAGCTTGTCGACTTTGCTGCTCGCTGTCGTCTAGACTACGCCGCTAGTCTTGTTGCTGAGTCTGAGTCTGTCTGTCCTCCGTCCGTCGGGGGTGAGTGTGCTCTTAGCACGGACGTCCTTGAGGACAGGCAGGAGGAGTTCCAGTGTTTTGCTGCTGCTTTGCCTCATCTCGTGTCCACGCTGATTGCCCCTGAGGGAGACCCGGATGCACCAGACATCCCGACTCCTCGATCGTACGCTGAGGCGATCGAGGGTCCCTACTCCTCACAGTGGCAGTCAGCCATGGACGCAGAGATGGCTTCCTGGAAGTCCACAGGCACCTACGTCGACGAGGTTCCCCCACCTGGGGCGAACATCCTCAGTGGCATGTGGATTTTCAGGGTGAAGCGGCCGCCGGGTTCTCCGCCTGTTTTCAAGGCGCGTTACGTGGCTCGAGGCTTCAGTCAGCGGCAGGGAGTTGACTACTTTCAGACCTTCTCCCCCACCCCGAAGATGACCACTCTTCGGGTGCTGCTGCACATAGCCGCTCAGCGCGACTACGAGCTTCACTCTCTTGACTTCAGCACAGCTTTCTTGCAGGGCAGCCTGCACGAGGAGATCTGGCTGCGCCGCCCACCTGGCTTCACTGGGTCGTTTCCTCCTGGTACCCAGTGGAGCCTCAGGCGGCCAGTCTACGGTCTCCGCCAGGCGCTCCGTGAGTGGCACGACACACTGAGGACTACACTTGCGGCTCTTCGGTTTGCTCCGTCTACTGCCGACCCGTCGCTGTTTCTGCGCACCGACACCTCCTTGCCGCCGTTCTACATCCTCGTGTACGTCGACGACTTGGTCTTTGCCACTGCTGACACTGCTGGACTCGCCCACGTGAAGTCCGAGCTGCAGAAGAGACACACGTGCACAGACCTGGGTGAACTGCGCAGCTACCTTGGCCTGCAGATCACCCGGGACAGAGCACAGCGCACCATTACCCTGACTCAGTCACACATGGTGCAGCAGGTCCTTCAGCGCTTCGACTTCACGTACTCCTCGCCTCAGGCCACTCCTCTGTCTACTCGCCACTCGCTCTCAGCTCTGCCTTCGGATGAGTCCGTAGAGCCGAGTGGCCCGTACCCAGAGCTTGTTGGCTGCCTCATGTACCTGATGACCTGCACACGACCTGACCTAGCATACCCTCTTAGCATCTTGGCACGCTATGTGGCTCCTGGGAGACACCGACCAGAGCACATGGCTGCAGCGAAGAGGGTGTTGCGCTACTTGTGCAGTACGTCGGGCATGGGGCTAGTGCTTGGAGGGCGACGTCCAGTGGTCCTCACTGGTCACGCAGACGCTTCTTGGGCTGACGACCAGGCTACGCAGCGGTCGTCACAGGGTTACACCTTCAGCCTTGGTTCTGGCTCTGTCTCGTGGCGGTCTACCCGCTCGTCTTCTGTTCTCGGCTCCAGCTGTGAGGCCGAGATCTACGCAGGGGCCATGGCTGCACAGGAGCTACGCTGGCTCACCTACCTGCTGACTGACCTTGGAGAGCAGCCTCGTTCTCCTCCAGTTGTGTACGTAGACAACAAGGCCATGCTGGCCTTGTGTCGGGAGCACAGACTGGAGCACAGAACGAAGCACATTGCTCTTCGCTACTTCCTTGCTCGTGAGCTGCAGCAGCGGGGTCAGCTGCGCCTTGCTTACGTGGCCTCTGAGGCCAACACTGCTGATATCTTTACCAAGGCACTTCCGCCTTGTGATCATCAGCGCTTGTGTACTTTGCTAGGTCTTGTGCCTACTTGGCCTCACTTGCTCACCTCTTGACTTTGCTTGTACTGTGATCTATATATACCTGCACTTGCATGCATACTCTTGCTAGGTTGTGATCACTGCCTTGCTTGTTCTTCTTGATGTATAACTCTGCTTGTGAACTGGCCCTGTGGCCTTGTACTTGTGCTCAGATTGTGTGGTGACGTTGTGATCCACCCTGGGCTTGCCTTGCTTCTCTTGACTGGTCCTGTGACCCCTTGTTCTCCCCCACTTTGCCTATGGGGGTGTGTCGAACTATATATGCTGTAGTCTGTTTAGGCTGTAGTGGGGTAGTCAATATGGGGTACAACACTTTAGGGTTTCCTACTTGTACTCCTCATGCTGCTCAATGCAATCATTCCTTCGTCAGATTCTCACAAATATGATATCACATTTTCATGTGTAATTTCATCATCTAGTATGCTTTGGATTTTTATGTTATCTTTTATCGCACTATTTGTGCTACATTGTCTACTTTGATCAATTACGCATATTGCTTCGACGTCATTACGTCAACTGTTAGTATGAGATTATCAATATCGTACATGTCTCTGACTGTTACTTTAGCTTGTATTGTCCTATTGTAACAAGCATCATGCCTCTTTCATAATGTCACTTTGCATCTATTCTTGCTTGTACGTGACTACAAACGAAGTCAAAGTCATGTTCATAATCATGAATGTTTCTCTCTCTCTTTCTCTCTCTCTCTCTCTCTCTCTCTCTCTCTCTCTCTCTCTCTCTCTCTCTCTCTCTCTCTCTCTCTCTCTCGAACGGTCCTTCGTATTAATATCGTCAAGGAACAGACATGGGTGCTAAGCTAGTCTAAACAATCACATGGTAGACAAGCAAACCAACAACCAACAACCAATCACACAACGGAACCACTACTCATCCCTCCTCTACCCCTCCTTCCCCATGGCCCTACTGGCCCGTGGGGTCTTCCAGCAGCTGGTACAGCTGCTCCTCCCCCAGGCTGCTGAACGGGCCCTGCAGGCTGAGCTCATCCGCGGCAATGGCCTCGTGGGTCTTGTCGCGGAGGGCGTTGGCCTGGGCGCGCTGGAGTGTCACACTCCAGCGCTGCCGGTACTCCGTGAGGAGCCTGGCCACCTCCCTTGATTTCGGCGCAGCGCTGAATTGCCGTTTGCCCGCGAGCTCGGCGCAGCTGCGAAGGAAGGCGTGCACTCCCGGGGAGGGGTAACCGTACGTCTCGACTGCCATGGCATGAAAGCCTACCCACGCGTTCCGCCGCGCGTACTTGTCCTCCTTCTTGGCCGCTTGCATTCTTGCAGCCCACCCTGGCGCCTTCCGCGCAAGCTCATCCTGGTGGGAGACCGGGTCCGTGACGGTGATGTCGCACATTTGAACCTCGCCGGTGTCGGGATGGCGGATGCAAACATCCGCTTTGAGGTTTTCAACCGGTGAGTATACAGTAGACTCCTTGTGCACCGTGTAGCCTGCCTCTGCTGCGATCTTTGCACACTCATCACGGAGGGCGTGGTGAGTGGCAATCCTCCCCCTGCCCTTCTCGCAACGCATAAGGTGGTTGGGAAGGCGGTGGTCAGGGAAGGTCGTGCGGTAGCGGCAGTCGCAACGCCGTGGGACGGGAAGGGGGAGGCCTAAGCGGAAGGAGGACGCGGTGGAGTGCTGCGACGGGCCTAGCCGAAGGGCCGGGATCAGCGGGATGGCTAGCAGCCAGTCTCCTGCCCCAGGGCCGAGGAGAGATTGCAGGCGTTGTGTGTGGCCGAAGAGCGGGTTCAGGGGCATCTCCCGCGAGGCATCGAGCAACTCGATATAACGAGCGGTGTGGACGGCTAGCGACAAGGCTTGCTGTAGCTTCGGTCCCTCGGGGTCGCGCCGGCCGACCTGCAGAGCTTCAAGACCGTCCGGCGGCAGCTCAGCTTCAGCTGCAGCAAGGCGCCTTGGCAGGACCGAGGGTGAGTCCGCAGCCGCGTCCATCAGCGGCAGCATAAGGGCGATGGCGGGGTGCACCGCGTCGCCGAACGAGTGCAGCAGGTGAGCAGAGGAAATGACCGAGGCCAGGTATGCGAACGCCCCTTCCGTTGCTGGGTTGGTGATGCCAAGGCCGCCCAGTGTCGCGGGTAGGGCTGCTTGCCGCCAGATTCTCACCCGCTCCGCCTCCTCTCTGGGTATCGCCGTGTGTGCAGCTGACAGGTAAGTGTGCAGCAGCTGTTCCCCCCACGCCGACCATGTTTCCTCTGGCAGGACGTCCAAGGGCGTTGTTCTAACGAGGTAGGACGCACGGCGGCTCACGCACCGAGTGAGGAGTAGCAGGCACAGCTGCGGGTCCATTTGTGAAAGGAGCTGTAGCGGCTCTGCTGCTGCCGACAGGCGCTCCTGTACCATCGCCGCGCATCCTGGCTGCGGTCCGATTGGGCTCCCCAGGACGCGGATCCCGTCAGCCGAGAAAGGGACATGCTGGGGCAGGGAGGCGAGGTCGACGTGGGCAGCCGACCACGCCGCGCACTTTTCGGGGTTGTGCTCCAGGCCCAGGGAGAGCAGGGCACTGGTGAGGTGGGTGAATGCCCGTGTGCACGCCGCTGCTTCCCCCAAGAGCGTAATGTCGTCCGCGTACGCGAGGATGACGACTTCTGGATGCGCCTCCGCCGCTGCAACCAAGCAGGGGTGAATGCTGGCGGCGAAGAGGAGGGGTCCCAGCGGATCCCCTTGGCGAACGCCGCGCGCGGACAGCAGGGGGGGAGTGTGAAACGCGTGGTCGAGGTGTAGTGCCGAAGGGGCACCATAGCTCAGCCGCACCAGGGGCACCATGAACTCCAAGGTGGTCCCCTTGAGGCCTTCGAACACCGCCGCTCGCTCGACCGCGTTAAAGGCGTTCGCAAGGTCGATTTGAAGCGCCACCGCCCCTTTATTCTCCTCCAGGTAGGTTCTGGCTGTGTGCACTGCCGCTTCGATGCCTCCCGCTATCGCCACGCCGAATTGGAGCGGCGCGAAGTGTTCACGTGCTTTCTCGGCCGCCAAGAATAAAGCCGCTTTGGCGACTAGACGTAGCAGGCATTCGCCCACCGCGATCGGCCGTGTACCCCCATGTGGCTTGGCGAACGCAAGTAAGCGTGAAGCTGTGAGGAGTTCTGCTGCCTCCGAGCTAAGTTTCCCAGCCAGCGCAGTGTTAGTAAGTGCATGCAACTGTAGGAAGATGTCTGTGTTTCCTAGGGCAGCGTCCCTCAGGTGTTCGAAGGTGGTGCCTGAGGGGCCAGCGCCCACTCCGTTCGGGCATTTGGCGAGGATGCGTCTGAAGTCGCGGGGCTGGATTGATGGGGAGGTGTCTGTGGTGAACTCCCGTACCCAGTCAGGGATAGCTTGGCACGCAGGGGGGTGTCTAGCTGAGAGAGCTTGGAGCACGTCCGTGGATGGGGGGGAGACTGGCGTGGCCGTGAGGGATTGGAGTGATTTTGCGAGGTTCCCTCGTTTGGCCAATCCCTCAGCCCTTGCTAGGATGCCTGTGGTGTCAGGCGCATGGCGGGGTTGGGGCGGTTGGGATACTGCGTCAGCCGCCTCGTCATACAGGTTCCGCCAGAGGCCCTGGCGGAACTGAATTAGCCTGGCGCCCACCTTCGACCAATCTGGGCGCTTGGCTGACGAGGTGCGCAGAAGGATTCGCGGGAGGAGCATAAGTAACCTCCATCCCGCAGGTGAGTCAGGGTCCCGGGCAAGGTGTAGCAGCGGGGTGAGGAGGCAGGCAGTGAAAGAGTCGCGAAGTGTGCGAGGTGGGTGACGGGCGAGCGGTGGTTGCCTGCTGTCGCGAAGGGGGTTGAGGTCCCAAGTTGCGACGTCTGCGAAAAGGTCCTGGCGTTTTGCCAGGTCGCCAGCACTGAACATTGGCTGGCGGGTGGGTGCACCCGCGCCTTGCTGATTGCCTCGGGACGGGGTGCCATCTGCAATTTGTGCGGCTCGGTTTCCCCCTGCGACTTGATTCTGCCTCCCAATTCGAATTGCAGATGCGCCTCGGCTATGTGTTGGGTTTCGATCCAACTCTTCGTGTTGCTCTGCCTCGTCCACCTGGGGAGTGGGACTAGAAATCCCCTCTCTTTCAGGGTTAAAAAGTGGGTCACCCACGTTGTTTTCATCACTCGACTCTTCTCCATCTCCAGCTCTACCCCGCAGGATCCGGTGAGCAGCCCTCGCGAAGCTACTAGCCCCTCGTCGTTGAACTGTGACGCCTCCTCCTCTGCTTCCGCCTCGTCTCCCACCTCTAGCCACGCGGATACCTCGCGGCGTCGTGCTTGCTGCTGCGTCGCGGCGTGCTGGCTGAGGCGCGGAGGTAGAACCACGGCCCCTTCTTTGGCGGCCCGCTGCTGCTGGCGTCCGTGGCTCCGTGCTCCGGTGTAATGGACCCAACCGCGGGTCGCGATCGCGCGCAAGAGAGTACCGCGGAGAGCGCCCGGCTTGACCCGCCCCGAGCTCAGGGGCCTGCTGCTCCTCGTCCTCACGCTGCTGCGTGCCCCTCCGCGTCTGAGCCTGTCCCCCGCTTGGATCGCGGGCTGTCTCTTCCTCTTCGACGTTTTCCTCAGCCCCATTCACCGGAGTACTCGTGGGTCCCTGCTCAGAATGCATCGAGTCGACCTGCCGGTCAGCCGCGTCAGGAGCGTGGGCGTTCGCCGCCCCGTCAGCAGCCGCGTCAGCAATCTCCCCACCGACGCTCCCCAGAGCGTCGCGGAGATCACCGGGACGGCGCTGGCGATCAGCTGTCCCCTGCGGGCCATCGCTCTCCTCGCCCCCAATCCCCTCGTGGTCGGGCAGGCCAGCGCTCACCCCGAGCGCGATCCCCCGCGCAACGGTCTCCGCGGCGATCTCCGGCGACGCGGGGGAGGGGGTCGCCTGGGCGTCGCTGGGATTCGGGTCGCCGCGAGCAGTCCCCTCCGTGTCCACTCTTGGCTGGTTCCGGAGGCCGTCGTGGCCGGCGGAATGGCGGGGGGCGTGGCGGTAATGGACGCGGGCAGGATCCTGCCCTCGATCGTGCCACGAATGCCTTCGCGGAAGTGGTGCGTCAGGCGCGCGCGAGTGGGGAGCCGACTCACGTGCACATTGCCGTGACCAACGGTCCTCCCTTCGCCGCGGACCCTGGCCAGGTGGCTCCTCTACGCGCTCCGACGCTGCGCGAATATCTGCCCGCGCGAGAGGGGAGGGCTCAGTTTCGCCCCTACCGTCAGGTCCCGAGCTTCTCCGCGCAGCGCTTCTCTGTTGGCCGGACTCCTGGCTGGCCGACGGCGTTTCCGCACGAGGCTCCGACTGCACCTCCCCCCACTCACTCGGGGAGAGACCCCATGCTGACCATGAGCTGGATTTTGAATATGGCGGAGGCGTGCGAGGTGGTGGCGAACCTGCAGCTGGCGGTGTGTGGGGCCACGCGGAACTTTCCGAACAGTTACGGTCCAGGGTCCCGAGGATCCTGCGTGACTTTGGCAGAATCTCTCGAGTCGCCGTTGGCACCCGTGTCGGAAGCGCCCGCCGGGGTAGCGCCCTTAGCGCGTACCTTCCCCCGCCACGTGGGGGATCTTGTTGGGGCTGCTCAAGGCGGGACCCCAGTGGACACTCTTCGGTCGTCGGCGCATCTCCTTCTTGCGATGTCGGCGTGCATGCGCTCCATGCTTGAGGTGGAGGGGGCGGAGCCGAACACGATGTAGGCTTCCGCCGCGTGTAGTACTGCATCCCCGTAGGAATTGTTTTCGCCTGTCACCCTTGCTACTTTTGCAGTGTCTGCTCTTTCTATAAGCCTTCCGTTTGTGTGCTGCCTTGCCACCAGGAGCGCGCGGCCGTAGGCCGCGCTTGCGAGCGGCGGCGGCCGAAGGCCGCCGCCGCGAGCCGCCGAAAACGAACACACGAAATAATGAATGAACCAGAGAGCCAGCTCCCTTAAATAGGCAAGGAAGGATGAGGGAAGAGGGGAGAGGCTGAGGAAAGAAGGCTAAGGACTCCCTCTCTCTCTCTCTCTCTCTCTCTCTCTCTCTCTCTCTCTCTCTCTCTCTCTCTCTCTCTCTCGCTCTCTCTCGAGCGAGCCGCCGAAAACGAACACACGAAATAATGAATGAACCAGAGAGCCAGCTCCCTTAAATAGGCAAGGAAGGATGAGGGAAGAGGGGAGAGGCTGAGGAAAGAAGGCTAAGGTCTCCCTCTCTCTCTCTCTCTCTCTCTCTCTCTCTCTCTCTCTTTATCCTTCTCCCTCTCTCTCTCTCTCTCCCTCTCTCTCTCTCTCTCTCTCTCTCTCTCTCTCTCCCTCTCTTTGTCACACACATAGACGCACACACTTGTGTTACGCCTTACGCACATAAGAACCCATCCTTTAAAACCGGAGTCACAAGTTCCCCAAAGTTGCTTCAACCTTCCGACCTTTGGTTGGGTCAACAGGTCCAACCAAGCTTTCTACCTTTGGTTGGGTCACCAGGTCTAACCAACCTTCCTACCCTTGAAATACGTGGACCTCGGGTTTTAATTGTTTCTCTATCATACACTCTAGTTGTTTACTCGATAACTATTTTGTTTGCAAATCCGTACTGGACATTCATCGCACTCTTGTTTTACATTTTCCGTCTATGTTTGGGCCACTGCCTATCATTTTTGCGTTCTTTATCGCACATACTGTCTGCAACTCAAACACTTCCTATATTTCTACATTCATTTTATCTAACATTTGTTGCTTATATTTTCTTCACACATACTTTCAAGCTTGTATCATGCGTTTGCGGATGTAAAAACACATTGTCCATCATTGTTTTGCAATCACGTATGTTTATCGTCATTTTAACACACCCTTCAACATTTACTACAGGTGTCGTCCTTTATTGTCAAGCTGAAAATTCGCAAGGTGGAGTCGAGTTTCATGCTGCGAGCTGTCTGTGAGGTTAGCGATGCGAGCGGAACATACGGCCTGACAGCACTGGGTACCTCCGCGGACAGCATCATGAAGTTGGTGGAAGAGGAGCAGAAGCTGACCAAGACTTTCCAGACGGAGACCCCTGTCATCTTGTGGATCACTGAGGTCTTCAAGGATGACACGCAGATCATGACGACCAAAAGGTGCGATACATTTCTGCTCTTTTTAGTATAAAGCAATTGTACAAACCATTTGTACTCTGTATATCTTTGAAATCCGTCATCATATGATATTTGCATTCTTATTTGATATGCATCTTTATAAAAGTTATCATATCACATATCCAATACGTCTATGTTAGGTCGAGGATCATCAAGGTTACAGATAGCACTGTCACTGCTCGCATCACCCCGACTGTCGACCCTCAGACAGTGCTGCCCTTGCTCACGACCCCTGTCGACCTCGGAATTATCACATCGTAAGTTAATATGTTGAATTTTATTAGCTTGTTGAGTATCGCATAGTATTGTTATCATTTCTTGATCTTTTGCTCTCCTTCAGTTCACATTCATTTTGATACTTATAAAGTCTCTCATACATTACCCGTCATTCACATGCTTTCCTATTACCATTCTTTCTTTTTGTTTCGCTGCCATACACTCCTATGGAACACTCTTCAATGCTTATACTCTCTTTTGATTATCATTCGTCGTCCTTTTTATATGTATATCAAATGTGTGAAACTCATCTTTCATATGCAATGTTAACTTGTCCATATTTCACTATCTTGCACGACATGGCATTTTCCCATATCTCCATGTGGTACACAAAAGCATGTACTCTTATAGTATTTGATTTTTCGTTTTTTCTCATTTCTAAATCTAGTTTGCACTATCATTATCATAACAAACTCTATGCAGTCTGGGAGCAGCAGAGGACTGTTGATTACAGAAATACCTTTTCTGTAATTCAATCTGCCGATTCTGGGTTATGATTCAGGTTTTCTAGCTGCAGCTGAATGGAGCAGCGATTCTGGTACAATCGAGGTAAAGTAAAAGCTGGTCTCGACCAATGGGAGTAGCTGGTGGTGTTCAAAGAGTGAGTTTGACCTTTTTGTTTTTTAGCGAACCGTTTTGGTGGTCCTGATTGGCTGCTGTTCGAAATGGCAGTTGCTCATGAGTTCGAGCGAGGGGCTGCTCGCGCTGCCACTGTTCGAGGAGCAGGATTGGTTACTGTTCATTAGCGAGCGTATTCATTAGCGCGTTCATTAGCGTGTTCAATATCGTGTTCATTAGAGCGTTCATTATCGTGTTCAGTAATGCGAGCGTCATATGCTCGCGAATCGTTTTCAGTGCAGGTGGCGAGATCGGCGAGATGTTCGAGTGAGTCACGTTACCCACGTTTTGTAACAGCTCTGACAATTCAGATCGACGGTGCGTTCGGAACGAGACGCACGTGGCGAGCAGCAGTTGGGCGATCGAAAGTTCTGCTGATCGCCACCGACATTTCCTCTCGCGCAAAGTTCGAACGGTCTTCATCGCAACCGTTCGCAGATGGCGCGAACAGTAATGTTCGAATCGGCACCGTTGGAATTCTTCGCGCTCAACTTTCGAATTGTTTCAGCGACGAATCGGGAGCCCGCCAAGTTACAAAATAAAGAGAGGGAAACTCGAAAGGGTTCGCGCTACGAGAAACGAGGCTGCGAAGTTGAAGAATAGAACAAGGTAGAATAGAAAGGATTAGAGCTAGTATATAACTGTGTGTTCTTGCTATTCTAAAATATAACTTGAGTGAAGGATTTCTCCTGTGCCTGCTGCAAGTACGCTGCTATAGTTGATTCTCTTGACAATGCCAAGGAAGCGACAATTGCTACTACACTTTAGCTGTTGCTACGACTCTCTCTCTACACACTCGGACCCTTGGATAGGGGCTGACCTCGGTCAGGCACCCAAGGACCCTCGGAGGTGACCCCGAGGAGAGAGTTTTAGTGATTACTAAGGTTGTTATTAGCCAGCTTAGTGTGTTTGATTAGTAACAAGTGGTATCAGAGCTTGGGTTACTACGTCGTTGCCGTTAGAATACCATGGGCAAGAATGGAGCTGAAGGGTCTTCAAGCCAAGAAAGCAGCGGAGGCCAAGCAACGGGGGTGTCGTCGCCAAGGATGGCGAGAACCAGCCAGGGGTCCCTGCTAAAGGAAGTCTTGAAGAACTTCTCGGTTGATAAGTTTAACGGCACGGGATATGATGACTGGGCGTGGAAAATGCAGCTGTACTTCAGGCAAGTGGGACTCCTCAAGTTGATGAGCGGCAAGGAAGAAAGGCCGACAGATCCAGCATTGCAAGAAGAATGGGATGAGCGAGCGTCAGTAGGGTACTACCTACTTTCACAAAGCTTGGAGTTGAATCAGCGGGCGCACGTCATGCACCTGCTCGAGGATGCGGAATGTGGACCGAAAGCATGGGCTGTCCTCAAGGACCTGCACGCCCCAACATCGATTACAGCAACATTAATGTTGGAACGGGAGCTATCTTCATTACGGGTGAATGAAGGAGAGCCGCTACAGCCTGTTCTTAACAGGATGCGAGACACGTACGCGAAGCTGACGATGGCCGGGGTTGTGTATCCCGAACAAGCGAAGTGTTTGAAAATGTTGTCACTGTTACCCAAATCATGGCTGCAATTCATGAGTGGGCTGAGCCTCCCACAAAACCAGGGGCTATGGACTCTCGAATGGGTGAGGAGCAAGATCTTGGAGGAGGATTTTCGAAGGCGTCAGATGAACAATGTGGATGACGGCAACGGTGGCCTCGGCATGCAAGGAAGCGGTTGGAAAAACAAGCGGAACGGGTCTAAGAGCATGCACGGTGATAAGCGTTACGGCAACGTGACTAGACAACGGGAGTTTGATGAAGAAAAACCAGGAAGCGGACATGACAAGTTCATTGGGAACGGGAACACTGCGCGCAATCACGAGAGCTGGAACAGTGAAGCTGCACGACAAGGTAGCTACAGGGCAGGATTTGGAGGTTTTAGGGGAAGCTGCTGGTACTGTCAAAAGCCGGGAAACACTTGGTTTCAGTGCCACAAACGACCAGACTGGTGGAACCCAAGTTACCTGAACAATGACAGGGACGAAGGCGAGAAGGACGACGTCAACATGGTAGCGGATCATGCACGACAAATGAATCACTATGAGGGAAGTGCAGCAGGACAGTTCTTTCATGTAACGGCGGGAGAGACAACACGTGTGAAAAGAACACGAAACGAAGATGAACGACGCGCTTGGATCCTGGACACTGGAGCCGCTTGGTCAATGACACCATGTGCGGAGCTGCTGGAAAGTATTGATACAGCACCCATCTCGGAAGTTAAGTCCGGATCTGGGCATGCAATGAGGGTGATGGGTGCAGGAAGGGCGGCATTCTTGGGAGCCGACGGAAAGCCGATTGTGCTTGAGAAGGTGTTGTTTGTACCGGAAATGACAGCGAACTTGATATCGCTAAGGAAGTTGGCTATTGCAGGAGTGAACACTGAGAACAGAGACGGGTGGTTCAAGGGAAAGTTTGGGAGCAGGGTGCTTTGGGAGCTGCGCGATGAATGCAGCTGGGATGACGAGCTGTGGCGAGTACCTGTCGTGCCATGGAAGAAAGTTGCAGCACAAACTGCTGAGAAGGGGTGTATCATCGAGGGGGAGTCAACGACAGTCACCATGGATGAGATAAACGAGTTGAAACAGATAAG